GCCAGCTACTTGGTAGGCTGAGGTGGGAGAATCGCTTAGAGCCTGGGACGTTAAGCCTGCAGTGAGCCATGATCATGCCACTGCACTCTAGCCTGAGCAACAGAGTGACACCCTGCCTCAAAAAATAAAAAAGAAAGAAAAGAAAAAAATATATATATTTATATATATTTGAGACAGAGTCTCACTCTGTCAGCCAGGCTGGAGTGCAGTGGCACGAACTTGGCTCACTGCAAGCTCCGCCTCCTAGGTTCACACCATTCTCCTGCCTCAGCCTCCTGAATAGCTGGGACTACAGGCGCCCGCCACCTGGCCCGGCTAATTTTTTGTATTTTTAGTAGGGACGGGGTTTCACTGTGTTAGCCAGGCTGGTCTCGATCTCCTGATCTTGTGATCCGCCCACCTTGGCCTCCCAAAGTGCTGGGATTACAGGCGTGAGCCACTGCGCCCGGCCAATAAAGTAGCCTTTCACCACCACAACTGGGGAGGCGTGATCACAAAATGAAACTGGGAGGGGAAGAGGAAGGGAGATGGATGTTGAACATCCAAATGCCCATTAATGTCCACCTCACGCCTCATCTCACACTCCCTACAAGGCTCCCTATGCTCACCACATTCCCCATTTGACATGCTGCATTCAGGCTTCTGTGCAGTTGTATTACTCACTCTGCCTCAAACCCCTGCTTGGGGCCAAGACTTGTTCAAAAGGCGCCTTCCATTTAGAGGAACAGCTGCCTTCTCCCCGAGAGGAAGGAGCCAATGTGGGAGTGGCCTTAGGGCCAGGGTCTATACTCAGGTGCAACCAAGAATTGACAGAGCCGGCCGGGCGCAGTGGCTCACGCCTGTAATCCCAGCACTTTGGGAGGCTGGGGCGGGCGGATCATGAGGTCAGGAGATCGAGACCATCCTGGCTAACACGATGAAACCCCGTCTCTACTAAAAATGCAAAAATTAGCCAGGCGTGGTGGCGGGCGCCTGTAGTCCCAGCCACTCGGGAGGCTGAGGCAGGAGAATGGCACGAACCCGGGAGGCGGAGCTTGCAGTGAGCCGAGATCGCGCCACTGCACTCCAGCCTGGGCGACAGAGGGAGACTCTGTCTCAAAAAAAAAAAAGAAAAAAAAAAAAAGAATTGACAGAGCCAGGCATGGTGGCATGCACCTGTAATCCCAGCTACTCAGGAGGCTGAGGCGAGAGGATCACTTGCACCCAGGATTTGCAGGCCAGCCTGGGCAACTTAGTAAGACCCTGTCTCTTTAAAACAACAACAACAAAAAAGGTGACAAAGGTGCTTTCGCTTTAATGACTCGTCAATACATCTAATAGTTTCACTTTCATCATGGAGTTAACAGCTGTCACATCAATGACTTTGAAACCAGAGGTTGGAAGGATGCCCCTCCTCTCCTGCCCTCCTCTTTCTGCGCTTCTGTTCCAAGAAGTCTTCCGCAGCCTGCCTGCCTTCCAGCAGAATTAATACATTGCTCCGTTCTGTTTTCATTTCCCATAAATTACTTAACTTAGGACTCTAACTGAAAGTGACAGAAGTCCACTCAAATTGGTTTTATTGGCTCATATAACTGAGAAGTCTTTTTTTTTTTTTTTTTTTTTTAGCTACAGTCTCACTCTGTTTCCCAAGCTGGAGTGCAGTGGCACAATCATAGCTCACAGCATTCTGGACCTCTGGGCTCAAGCAATCCTCCTGCCTCAGCCTCACAAGTAGCTGAAAGCACAGGCACGTGCCACCACGCCTGGCTAATGTTAAATTTTTTTGGAGAGTTGGGATCTCACTATGTTGCCTACATCAGTCTTGAACTCCTGGGCTCAAGTGATCCTCAAGTGATTCCCAGCCCCACAGAGTGTTGGGATTACAGGCATGAGCCGCTGTGCCTGGCCATAACTGACCAAGTCTTAAGGATACTTCTAGTTTTAGGATCTAGGCTGTCAAAGTCATGAGAAATCAGTCCATCAGTATTAGTTCTCAAATGTTGTATAACAAATCACCCTAACTTGTGGCTTAAACCAACAACATTTAATGATGATTTATCACAGTTTCTGATGGTCGGTTTTGCCTTGAGGTCTTTCACAAGATTGCAAGCCAAATATCAGTCAGGGCTGCAGTATCCACTTCCAAGGCAGCTCATTCATGTGGCTGTCAAATTGGCACTGGCAGTCAGCAGGGCGCTTTACCTTCTCCCTACATGGGCTTCTCTGCAGGGCTGCATGCGTGTCCTTAGAGTGTAGTGGCTGGCTTCCTTCAGAGTGAGCAATCCAAGAGACTGAGGCAGAAACTGCAATGTCTTTTATGACCTGGGTTTGGAAGTCCAACACCCTCACTTCTGCCATATTCTTTTTTTTTTTTTTTTTTTGGTAGACAGTCTCTGTCGCCCAGGCTGGAGTGCAATGGTGCAATCTCTGCTCACTACAACTTCCGCCTCCTGGGTTCAAGTGATTCTCCTGCCTCAGCCTCCCGGGTAGCTGGGATTACAGGCACGTGCCGCTACGCCCAGCTAATTCTTGTATTTTTCAGAGACGGGGTTTGGCTAACATGTTGGCCAGGCCAGTCTTGAACTCCTGACCTCAAGTGATCCGCCTGCCTTGGCATCCCAAAGTGCTGGGATTACAGGTGTGAGCCACTGCACCCAGCCACTTCTGTCATATTCTAAAGGACACACTGAACAGCCCTAACTCAATGTGGGAGGACACTATACAAAGGCATGAATCTTAGGTGGTGAAGATCAATGGGGACTGTCTTTGAGGCCGTCTGCCACAGCATCCCTCCATCCTTTCTGCCCTGTTTGCTCTGCTTTTCCTATGTGTAGGCTTCATTCTCAAACAGGCCCTCCCTAGACAATGACAAAGGTGATCATCAACGTGTTCAGACCCACATGCTCTGTGCTTAGTAACCCCAGTGCAACTTTTTTGCTTTCCCAAAAGTTCTGGCAAAAGTCCTAAACTAGCACTTTAATTGGCCTAAGTTGTGTATATGCTTATCTCTGAACCAATCACTGAGGAGTAGAGATGTCATGCTCTGATTGGCCAGACCTAGGTCCATGCCATGCCCTGAATGGCCAGACCTAGGCCACACCTATAGCCCTTGTTCTGAGGGTAGAGCTGGCAGCACTAGAGCCCATGGAAGAAGTAAGAGAGGAGTCATTGTTAAAGGAAAAATCAAAGTGTCATTACCGAACCAGGACAGATACTGGGCAGCACATGTGCACCCCATCTTCTCTAGTGTTCCAGCTGCACATCTTAGTACCCCTTGGTTTAGCACTTTTCTCATGAAATCATTTGCTTTCTTGCCTCACTTCCTGTGGTTGGTAGAATGCTAATATGGCCCCAAGATCTCTACCCCTGATGCTTGCACACTTCCCAGTTATTCTGTTAAACACGAATGTAGATGCTTCTGTGAAAGAATTTTGCATATGTAATTAAAGTCCCAAAATGACCTTAAAATAAGGAGAATGGCAGGGCTAGGTGCAGTGGCTCACGCCTGTAATCCCAGCGCTTTGGGAGGCTAATGCGGGCGGACCACGAGGTCAGGAGATCGAGACCATCCTGGCTAACACAGTGAAACTCTGTCTCTACTAAAAATACAAAAAATTAGCCTGGCGTTGTCGTGGACACTTGTATTCCCAGCTACTCGGGAGGCTGAGGCAGGAGAATGGCGTGAACCCTGGAGGCGGAGCTTGCAGTGAGCTGAGATCATGCCATGCACTCCAGCCTGGGGGACAGAGCCAGACTGTGTCTAAAAAAAAAAAAAAAAAAAAAACAATGACTTTGGTGGGCCTGACCTAATCAAGTGAGTTTTTTTTGTTTGTTTTTGTTTCTGTTTTTTTTTTGAGACGGAGTCTCACTCTGTCGCCCAGGCTGGAGTGCAGTGGCATGACCTAGGCTCACTGCAAGCTCCACCTCCTGGGCTCACATCATTCTCCTGCCTCAGCCTCCCGAGTAGGTGGGACTACAGGCGCCCACCACCACGCCAGGCTAATTTTTTGTATTTTTAGTAGAGACGGGGTTTCGCCATGTTAGCCAGGATGGTCTCGATCTCCTGACCTTGTGATCCGCCCACCTCGGCCTCCCAAAGTGTTAGGATTACAGGCGTGAGCCACCGGGCCCCGCCATGTGTCTCCTTTTAAGAACTCACCTGGGCCGGGCACGATGGCTCAGGCCTGTAATCCCAGCACTTTGGGAGGCCAAGGTGGGCAAATAACGGTCAGGAGATCCAGACCATCCTGGCTAACACGGTGAAATTCCATCTCTGCTAAAAATACAAAAAATTAGCTGGGCATGGTGGCATGTGCCTGTAGTCCCAGCTACCCGAGAGACTGAGGCAGAAGAATGGCGTGAACCCAGGAGGCGGAGCTTGCAGTGAGCTGAGATGGCGCCACTGCACTCTAGCCTGGGCGACAGAGTGAAACTCCATCTCAAAAAAAAAAAAAAAGGAGACACATGACCAGAAATACAGGCCTCAGGGAGCCGAGGATAGCCCCTGGCTGACAGCCTGCAAGGAAGTAGGGACCCCATTCCTGCAACCATAAGGAACTGAATTCTGCAGACAACCTGAATGAGCTTGGAAGTGAATCTTCCCCGCATGGGATTTTTAAACTACGGAGTTGTGAATTAGTAAGTGGGTACTGGCCGGGCACAGTGGCTCACGCCTGTAATCCTAGCACTTTGGGAGGTCGAGGAGAGTGGATCACCTGAGGACAGGAGTTCGAGACCAGCCTGGACAACATGATGAAACCCTGTGTCTACTAAAAATACAAAAATGAGCTGGGCATGGTGGTGGTTGCCTGTAATCCCAGCTACTAGGGAGGCTGAGGCAGGAGAATCGCTTGAACCCGGGAGGCAGAGGCTGCAGTGAGCCAAGATCATGCCATTTCACTCCAGCTGAGCAACAAGAGTGAAACTCTGTCTCAAAAAAAGAAAATTTAAAAAAAAAATTGAAAATGGGCATTGTTGTAAGCTGCTGAGTTTATGGCAATTTGTTACATGACAATAGAAAACGAACACACTTCGCAGTGGACTCCAAGATGCCCGTGAAAGGGAGCTTCTCTTTGATCTCCTTAACCTCCTCATCTCCACAGGACCCAGAGCACAAGAACGTCCCTTCTCCTGCTTCCAGGCCCACCGTCTAGAAAAGAGAGGAGGAGCCCAGCTCTTCATCATTCCACCCCCACCCACTAACTCCCAACTTCCTGGCCCTCAGCGGGTGACCAAGGAAGTCAGTCCACTTGGCTCTCCATAAACAGCCTGTGCCCCACCAGGCTCAGGGGGGCAGCTTGACCAATCCCTATTTCCAAGACCTTTGGCCAACCCTATTGATCTGGACTCCTGGGCAGGCAGTTGGACCAACGGACAGACGCCATGAGGGCTCTGCTGCTCCTGGGGTTCCTGCTGGTGAGCCTGGAGTCAACACTTTCGGTGAGTGCTGTGGGAACCAGGATTGTCCCAGGATGGTCCTGGGGGGCGGGGGGGCGGTCGCTATCACAGCCATGGTCTCTGCTCATGACCTGTGGGTTCAGGTGACTAGGAGGCCTATGTGGAAAGGTGAGGCCAGCCCCGAAGGCCCAGGCAGAGGAGACAAGACAACCAGACTGGGTGGATACAAGGGCACAGCCTACATTTCTGGGGGAGATGGGCCTTAAGAAGACAATGGGAGGAGGTAGAAAGGGTTTGGGTCTTGGGAGGAAATCTCTGCATTTCTGGGCTGTGAGAGGAAGCTGCAGACTAGCAACAGATCGGTGGCAGGCTATGACTTCTAGGCAGTTCCCTGCCTTCTTCTCTCCCTTGTAGATTCCACCTTGGAAAGCGCCCAAGGAGCATAAGTACAAAGCTGAAGAGCACACAGTCGGTAAGTGGCTCCTCCTCCTGAGAACCCTTGGGTGGGGATGTGTATGGTGCGGCATGTGCAGTCTCAAGACAATCTAGTCTTGTGCCTACTTGGTGCTGGGTCTTATGCCCATGGGCACCAGAGTGATCGTGAGCTGTGTGATCCTTGAGGGCAGGGCATAACTGTGTCTAAGTGCCCACGAGCCTGGCTCAGAGCAGGTGCTTGAGATATGTGCTGCTGGTGCCATCACACCTGGGATCCTGCCAGCCTTCCTCCGTTTCCCCAGCTTTTCCCCTTCTTTTCCTTTCACCAGTATGTCTCGTGGGCATCAATCATGCCACACAGAGGCCAGGACCTTCAATGGGCAAGGAAGGATCAAGAGCTGGTCTCTGGCATTCGAATGCCTCTGAATCCCAGCTTTATCACTTATGAGCTGGGTGACTCTGGGTGAGAATTAAATCTGAGTTCTCTAAGCTTCAATTTCCCCTTCTGCGAAACCAGGTTAATAATAGTAAACCTCTTAGGGTTGTTGAGAAGGAAAACCCATGTGAGGCATTCAGCCCATCACCTGAATGGAATGGTGCATGGAAATGCTTTAAAAATATGAGCTTTTATTGGCTGGGCGCGGTGGCTCAAGCCTGTAATCCCAGCACTTTGGGAGGCTGAGGCGGGTGGATCACGAGGTCAGGAGATCGAGACCATCCTGGCTAACATTGTGAAACCCCGTCTCTACTAAAAATACAAAAAACTAGCCGGGCATGGTGGCGGGCGCCTGTAGTCCCAGCTACTCGGAGGCTGAGGCGGGAGAATGGCGTGAACCCAGGAGGCGGAGCTTGCAGTGAGCTGAGATCGCGCCACTGCACTCCAGCCTGGGCGACACAGCGAGACTCCGTCTCAAAAAAAAAAAAAAAAAAAATTAGCTTTTATTATTAAACTACCTTTTAGATGAGGGGTACCTGCCATTTCCCCCTTCCTCAAGCCCTGCCATAGCTCCTCATTACTTTCATTGTTCCAGACACTAAATTACCTAGAGGTCAGGCATGGTGGCTCATGCCTGTAATCCCAGCACTTTGGGAGGCCAAGGCGGGTGGATCACGAGGTCAGGAGTTCGAGACTGGTCTGGCCAACATGGTGAAACGCTGTCTCTACTAAAAGTACAAAAATTAGCCAGGCATGTTGGCATGCGCCTGTAGTTCCAGCTACTTGGGAGGCTGAGGCAGGAGAATTGCTTGAACCCAGGAGGATGAAGGTTGCAGTGAATGAAGATCACACCATTGCACTCCAGCTTGGGCAAACAGAGCAAGAGTCTGTCAAAGTGCTGGGCAACAGAGCAAGACACCGTCTCAAAAAAAAAGAAAATTTACGTAGAGCATACCACATAGCAGGGCCTGTGAACCAGATAGACCCTAACCTGGTGGGCCTGACTTGGTGGGGTTGAGTCCCTAAGCATGGCTTTGAGGCCCAGCTCATTCCAACCCTGGACTCCCTCAGCCTCCTCTCTTCACCCCACACCCAAAAGTTTCTCCTCCCTCTTGCCTTACCCAACCTTGGTGCCCTATGCTTGCCTAATGCCCTGCCTAGTGTCCCCCTGCTCTCTGTCCGTCCATCCCATTTGCATCTTTTTTTTTTTTTTTTTTTGGGATGGAGTCTCGCTCTGTCCCCTAGGCTGGAGTGTAATGGTGCCATCTTGGCTCATTGCAATCTCCACCTTCTGGGTTCAAGCAGTTTTCTGCCTCAGCCTCCCGAGTAGCTGGGATTACAGGAACGCACCTTCATGCTCAGCTAATTTTTGTATTTTTTAGTGGAGATGAGGTTTCACCATGTTGGCCAGGCTGGTCTCAAACTCCTGCCCTCAGGGATCCACCCACCTCAGACTCCCAAAGTGCCGGGATTACAGGCATGAGCCACCGCGCCCAGCCGCCATTTGCATCTTATAGGTTCATCTCAGATCCATTTCCATTTACTGTCCTGGTTCTGGTTTGGTACTTGGCAAGTGCACTTTGCCTTTAACAAAATAGTGGCAGAAGCTTATTAAGCAGGTACTATGTGCCAGACACTGTTCAGCATTTCACGGCATTATCTCATGAAGCCTCACGACAATTCCTCTGAAGAAGACACAGGCAATTCTCATTATTCGCGGTGATTATGTTCTGTAAAATCACAGTGAACATTGAACTGGCAAACAGTATTAGGTTCCTGTGAGCTTCTGGTCACAACATTTTCATCAACCAACAGTATATAATCTCGTTTTATGTGTGATTCTGTTTAAAGACGTTTTATTTAATATATGTGTTGCTGATTCATCAATGCTAAGCTGATGGCACTATAGCTCACACCTGAATGAAGTGTATCTAACACATGCTTTCTCCCTAAGGTAGCCTTCTTGTGCTTAGGAACTATACAACTCTTGAGCAGGAGGCTCAGGGGCCATTTCCAAAAGCAAAATCCCCAGCAAAAGCACAAAGTGTGAAAAACGTTGCGCTAAGTAGATTGAAAAGGACACTCATTCAATACGACAGCTGAAACAAAAGCAGCAGTGTGACGCCTTGCTTGTTGAACCTTAACTGGGAGTGTGCAAATGTTTTACTGCTCTGTGCATGTCCACAAATGGCCATGAAAGCATTTCAAGTATTGACTTGGGAGTTACAAATAAAATTTAGCAAGTAGGCATGTTCTCAAATATAGAACCAGAAAATAATGAAGATCAACTGTAGTATTATTACTGCCATTTTTCAGATAAGGAAACCAAGGCTCAGAGTGGTTAACAGTGACTTCAACGTTCAACAAGTATTATTAAGTGCCTGCTTTGTGACAAGTGCTCTTCCTGGCCTTGGGACTGTAGACTTACCCAAGGTCACACAGCTAGCAGGTGGTGGAGTCAGTCTACTCCAGCTGTCTGAGTCCTAAACCCAACTTTTTTTTTTTTTGAGACGGAGTCTCTCTCTGTCACCCAGGCTGGAGTGCAGTGGCGTGATCTCAGCTCACTGCAAGCTCCGCCTCCTGGGTTCACGCCATTCTCTTGCCGCAGCCTCCCAAGTAGCTAGGACTACAGGCACCCACCACCATGCCTGGCTAATTTTTTTGTATTTTTAGTAGAGACGGGGTTTCACCGTGTTAGCCGGGATGGTCTCAATCTCCTGACCTCATGATTCGCCTGCCTCGGCCTCCCAAAGTGCTGGGATTACAGGCTTGAGCCACCGCGCCCGGCTCTGAACCCAACTTTTAAAGCAGAAAGTGTTTTCAATGCACAGCGGCCTTTTTGAGGGTCTGTCCTTTCCCAACCAGACCCTGAGGGGCAGTGCCTGCACAGTGGAGTACAGGGGAAGTCCTCAGGGAGTGTGTTGTCCCTGCAGTTCTCACTGTCACCGGGGAGCCCTGCCACTTCCCCTTCCAGTACCACCGGCGGCTGTACCACAAATGTATCCACAAGGGCCGGCCAGGCCCTCAGACCTGGTAAGACTACGCAGAGGAGTTGGAGCAGGGGCCTGGGAGACATGGGCCCTGGCTGTCCTTCTGTCTAAGGAACTCTGCTCAGAGAGAGGGGGCTGTGATAGGGGAGGGTGGGCCAGGCCCCTGGGCAGAGCAGGGAAGTCTTGTCTCTTTCCACAGGTGTGCTACCACCCCTAACTTTGATGAGGACCAGCGATGGGGATACTGTGTGGAGCCCAAGAAAGTGAAAGGTGCTACACACAGCCTCTGGGGTGGCCCGGGGCTCTCTCCTCCTGCCTCATTACTCTCCTGGTATCACCAGACCCCACACACCTGGGATTCTGGGCCCAGCCCCTTCTCTCCCTCCACAATACCCTTTGGAAGTCCAGAGGGAGAGTTCTGGGAAGGAGTGGTCCCATTTTGCAGGTGGGTAAACTAAGCCTTGGAAACTTGGAGTAGCAAGGTCACAAGGCAAGTAGGTTCAAGTAGGGCCTTGGCCCCCAACTGTCTGACTCAGCTCCCTGCTCTTCCTCCCGCCGTGTCCATCTCTCAGACCACTGCAGTAAACACAGCCCCTGCCAGAAAGGGGGGACCTGTGTGAACACGCTGAGTGGCACCCACTGTCTCTGTCCACAACACCTCACTGGGAACCACTGCCAGAGAGGTGAGGAGACGCTGAGGACCCAGGCGGGGGTGCTGGGGGACAGGGGCAACCCTGGGCCTGCAGAAGAGGTCGCTGGATACCAGGAGACTTGGCATGGTTCTAGACTCTCCTGAACCACTGTCCCTCTTTGTCCTCAGAGAAGTGCTTTGAGCCTCAGCTTCTCCGGTTTTTCCACGAGAATGAGATATGGTATAGATCTGAGCAAGCAGCTGTGGCCAGATGCCAGTGCAAGGGTCCTGATGCCCACTGCCAGCGGCTGGCCAGCCAGGGTGAGCAGATGGTTGGGAACGGGCCAGGGAGGAGCGTCAGGAAGACAGGCTGGCAGGAGGCCGGGTGGTGTGCCGGGAAGGAGAGCTCTCTGGGGGGCTCTTTAGGCCCTGGGTGGCTCACTGCGTTCCCTCCCCAAGCCTGCCGCACCAACCCGTGCCTCCATGGGGGTCGCTGCCTAGAGGTGGAGGGCCACCGCCTGTGCCACTGCCCCGTGGGCTACACCGGACCCTTCTGCGACTTGGGTGAGTGAGGGTCTGGAGGAAGCAGAAGGCCAGCCCCCAGGTGGGACGGGCTTGCCAGGGAGGAGGAGGGAGAGTGCAGAAAGCGGATGAGAGGGCGGCAGGAGAGCCCAGCCCTGGCTGCCCAGGGAGCCCCCTCTCTCCCCAGACACCAAGGCGAGCTGCTATGATGGCCGCGGGCTCAGCTACCGCGGCCTGGCCAGGACCACGCTCTCGGGTGCGCCCTGTCAGCCGTGGACCTCGGAGGCCACCTACCGGAACGTGACGGCCGAGCAAGCGCGGAACTGGGGACTGGGCGGCCACGCCTTCTGCCGGTGCGCCGCGTGGGGCTGGGTGACCCCTCCGCCCGAGGGCCCCGGGCTCCTGTCGCTCTAACGGCGCCCCCCGTGTGGCTACAGGAACCCGGACAACGACATCCGCCCGTGGTGCTTCGTGCTGATCGGCGACAGGCTAAGCTGGGAGTACTGCGACGTGGCACAGTGCCAGGCCCCAACCCAGGCGGCGCCTCCGACCCCGGTGTCCCCTGGGCTTCATGTCCCACTCATGCCCCCGCAGCCGGCACCGCCGAAGCTTCAGCCCACGACCCGGACCCCGCCTCAGTCCCAGACCCCGGGAGGTTAGGAAGCGGGGGGAAGGAGGAGCCGAGAGGGCTCTGGGCGGCGAGCTAGATTCCGGCCGGCGGGCCGCGGGCTCCGCGTGCTCAGCCCCGGCTCCTCCACAGCCTTGCCGGTGAAGCAGGAGCAGCCGCCTCGCCTGACCCGGAACGGCTCAGTGAGCTGCGGGCAGCGGCTCCGCAAGAGTCTGTCTTCGATGACCCGCGTCGTTGGCGGGCTGGTGGCGCTACGCGGGGCGCACCCCTACATCGCCGCGCTGTACTGGGGCCACAGTTTCTGCGCCGGCAGCCTCATCGCCCCCTGCTGGGTGCTGACGGCCGCTCACTGCCTGCAGGACCGGCGAGTACCCGCCCGCCCAGCGCCGCCCCAGGGACCGCGGCTCCTCCGTCTCCCAGCGCTGCTTCCACGCTGCACCCGAACCCGTGCCCTACCTTCTCCCGCCCCACCCTTCTTTCCACGCCCCTCCAGAGCTCCCGGGGAGGAATCTGGAACACGAGATGGGGTTCGGGAGCAGGGGGCTTCCCCAGAACGCTTGTGGCCAGGTCTGAGCGTTCTGCCTCTCCCCTACCCGCCCGCAGGCCGGCACCCGAGGATCTGACGGTAGTACTCGGCCAGGAACGCCATAACCACAGCTGTGAACAGTGCCAGACTCTGGCCGTGCGCTCCTACCGCTTGCACGAGGCCTTCTCGCCCGTCAGCTACCAGCACGACCTGGGTGCGTGGGGGCGCGCCGCGGGGACGGGAAGAGAGGATGGGCCCCCGGCATCCCCGCCTCATGCTCCTCTCGGCCCGGGTTAGCTCTGTTGCGCCTTCAGGAGGATGCGGACGGCAGCTGCGCGCTCCTGTCGCCTTACGTTCAGCCGGTGTGCCTGCCAAGCGGCGCCGCGCGACCCTCCGAGCCCGCGCTCTGCCAGGTGGCTGGCTGGGGCCACCAGTTCGAGGGTAGGCACAACTGCTAGGGGCAGGGTAGGAGAGGAGGCCTTTGATCACTGGGTTAGGCGGGAGAAGCCCGCGACTGTGTTATCATTCCGGGTGCCTACAGAATGGGTGGCGCTGACCTGATGGGTTGTGAGAATGTGTAGGGCCACCCAGGGCCTGGGATTCACTGCTGGGATCCCCCAAATCTCCTGGGGATACAGGGATAATCGAACTTGCTCTTGGTTTCCTCTGGGCGCCGGGCTTCTAAGTCCAACTATGACGCTGACCCCGCGCTCCGGGCTAGTGTGGGAGCCACGTTCTGCGACTCTGGATGGGTGGTGGGGGTGGGGTTTCTGTTTCCGCCCCGCCCATTCAAATCCTGGCTCTTCCCTGGACCTCAGCTTCCTTGCCTATGAAATTGAATTAATGGCATCTCCTCCCCCTCGGGCTTGCTGCAAGAGAGGAAGGGCATGAGTGGGTTTAGAAGCGCCTGGCGCAGCTTCGTCCATCGTCCGGGCGGCGAGCGTTGTCAGATGAGGTGTGAAGAAGGCGCTCGGTGTTCGCAGGGGCGGAGGAATATTCCAGCTTCCTGCAGGAGGCGCAGGTACCCTTCCTCTCCCTGGAGCGCTGCTCAGCACCGGACGTGCACGGAGCCTCCATCCTCCCCGGCATGCTCTGCGCAGGGTTCCTCGAGGGCGGCACCGATGCATGCCAGGTGAGCCCTTAGCCCGGTTGGCGCCCTTCCCCGAGGCCGTCAGGCACAAATCCCAGGTCCACAGCACTGAGCTGCGTGTTTCCGACCCAGGGTGATTCCGGAGGCCCGCTGGTGTGTGAGGACCAAGCCGCAGAGCGCCGGCTCACCCTGCAAGGCGTCATCAGCTGGGGATCGGGCTGTGGTGACCGCAACAAGCCAGGCGTCTACACCGATGTGGCCTACTACCTGGCCTGGATCCGGGAGCACACCGCTTCCTGATTGCTCAGGGACTCATCTTTCCCTCCTCGGTGATTCCGCAGTGGGAGAGTGGCTGGGGCATGGAAGGCAAAATTGTGTCCCATTCCCCCAATGCGGCCAGCTCCGCGCCAGGATGGCGCAGGAACTCAATAAAGTGCTTTGAAAATGCTGAGAAGGAAAGCTCTTTTCTTCATGGGTCCCGCCGGGAGATGCCAAGACAGAAAAGCGATTTACAGCTTCTCCACAGCTCTCAGAGAACAAGGTCTATGAGATCTTAACGTGCAAAATCTAGATGCCGGTCCAGCTAATGTTTACTGAGCCTAGGATACTGTGTACTAAGCCCTGTGCAAGGAGAACCTGCATGTTATTCCTTATGAGAAACTCACTAACATTTTGTTTACAGAGCAATAGTTCTCAGACCATACACTAAGATCACTTGGGGAGTTTTTGAGCCAATCTATGCCCAAGTTCCACCTCAGACCAATTAAATCACTATGTCTAGGGATGGGGCATGGATAGTGGTATATTTTCAAAACTCCCCAGATAATTCCATGTGCAGCCAAAGTTGAGAATCATGGTTAGAAACACAGCATTGGCCGGGTGCGGTGGCTCACGCCTGTAATCCTAGCACTTTGAGAGGCCAAGGCAGGTGGATTGCTCAGGAGTTCGAGACCAGCCTGGGCAACATGATGAAACCTCGTCTCTACTAAAATACAAAAAATTAGCTGGCACGGTGGCGTGCACCTGTAGTCCCAGCTACTCAGGAGGCTGAGGCAGGAGAATCACTTGAAACAGTGGGAGAGGGAGGCGGAGAGGGAGGGGGAGGGAGAGGGAAGAGGTGAGGGAGGATGGAGAGGGGAAGAGGGAGGGGGAGGGGGAGGGAGAGTTAGCATTGACTGTGGCGTGGACCCTAAGGGGTGGGTGACATATCATTGTCCCCACCCCAACACGCACTAGGGTAGTAGGTCTCAGAGTCCCTTGGCTAGCAGTACCATCACCAGGGAACTTGTTACACATAGCAAATTATCGGGCTATACTTTACACTGCTAAACAGAAAGTCTGGGGTGGGGCCCAGCAATCTGTTTAACAGTCTTGCAGGGGATTCTGATGTTCTCTCATGCTTGAGAACCACAATCTGGGGGTTGAATGGTTACAGGTGGAGGTCTGGCTGTCCAGACACAGCATCCTTTTGTTCACAAAACCAGTTTTTTTTTTTTGTTTTTTTTTTTTTTTGCTCTGTCGCCCACGCTGGAGTGCAGTGGCCGGATCTCGGCTCACTGCAAGCTCCGCCTCCCGGGTTCACGCCCTTCTCCTGCCTCAGCCTCCGGAGTAGCTGGGACTACAGGCGCCCGCCACCTCGCCCGGCTAGTTTTTTGTATTTTTTAGTAGAGACGGGGTTTCACCGTGTTAGCCAGGATGGTCTCGATCTCCTGACCTCGTGATCCGCCCGTCTCGGCCTCCCAAAGTGCTGGGATTACAGGCTTGAGCCACCGCGCCCGGCCCCACAAAACCAGCTTTTTAAAATTAAAAAAAGATTGGCCAGATGCGGTGGTTCACGCCTGTAATCTCATCACTTTGAGAGGCTGAAGCGGGAGGATTGTTTGAGCTCAAAAGTTCCTGATCCGCCTGGGCAACATAGTGAGACCTCATCTCAAAAAAATTTTTTTTAAATTAAATGTTTTTTCTTTTTTAGAGGCGGGGCCTCGCTCTGTGGCCCAGGCTGGAGTGCAGCGACACGATCCTAAAATCTCGCTGAGTTTAAGCGATCCGCCCGCCTCGGCCTCCCAAAGCGATGGGATTGCAGGAATGAGCCACAGCGCTCTGCCAAACCCTTCTTACAGGATAGCCTTAGAACTGCCCCTGCACTACACGCCCACGCCCCACGTGCCCCAGCCTGGGTGGTCCCTCCGGGACGGCGCCTTGTGTGACGTCACAGCCCCAGCATGCGTCGCAGCGCCGCAGGCCTTCCCCGCGTGGCGCCTCTACATTGCTCCGAGAGGCACGAGGCGGCGGGGCGCACTCGGAGCGCGATGGGCGACTGGAAGGTCTACATCAGTGCAGTGTTGCGGGACCAGCGCATCGACGACGTGGCCATCGTGGGCCATGCGGATAACAGCTGCGTGTGGGCTTCGCGGCCCGGGGGCCTGCTGGCTGCCATCTCGCCGCAGGAGGTGGGCGTGCTCACGGGGCCCGACCGTTGTACCTTCCTGCAGGCGGGCCTGAGCGTGGGCGGCCGCCGCTGCTGCGTCATCCGCGACCACCTGCTGGCCGAGGGCGACGGCGTGCTGGACGCACGCACCAAGGGTCTGGACCCGCGCGCCGTGTGCGTGGGCCACGCGCCGCGCGCGCTCCTGGTGCTCATGGGCCGACGCGGCGTCCATGGGGGCATCCTCAACAAGACGGTGCACGAACTCATACGCGGGCTGCGCATGCAGGGCGCCTAGCGGGGCAGCCAGGCTGCCCACTGGTAGCGCGGGCCAAATAAACTGTGACCTGGGCGCGGCTGGCTCCTTCTCCACTTGCGCGGTGGGAGGAGTTGTAAATAAGGAAACTGGTCTTTGCAAGACGGTTACCTGGTGGAGATGGGATTTTGAGTCTAGAGGCTGCCAGGCTCCTGTGCCCTCCACCCTGCTCTCCCATGGACGCCTCGCAGAGTCTCCTGGCCTGACTGCTGCTCCTTGGCGCCTTCCCAGGGTCCTAGGCACTCCGCAGCTGAGGAAGAGTCCAAGGGTGGGGCTTCTCAAAGTCTGTTTCCGCCTTAGCGTCCTTTCTCGCAGATATTCCCACACATTAGGCAGGACAAGTAAAAGGAGCCTCTTCCCCATCCCGCGAACACCTCTCCCCGTCAGAGTGTCAGGCTAGAGGCCAGTTTGCCCCTCCCCGCTCCACTCATACCTCACGTACTAGCAAGGTGTGTGAGTGGGTGACAGGACGGGCCTGGTAGCTTGTAAAGCAGTTCTGGGGTTCACAGGCCTCTGCATCTCTGCCCACATTCCTCCAAGGGGGGCCCACTGAGAGGGCACATGTCCAAGACCATCACAAGTGGGTCTGAGACCTTACATCCTGCCTTCACCAGGTCTTCGAAAAGGCCCCGGAGGAATCCCTGGACTAGAGGGAGGAACTCTGGCATCCCTACCCCGGAGTCTCACTCTGTAGGCCTCCGTTTCAGGGTGACCTATGGAGGAGGGGGAATTGAAAAGCTTGGATGAGTTTGTGGCCTGGTTTACTGCCCAAAGATAGTGGACAAAAGTGGGAGGCAGAGTGTCTGGTCTCTGCCCTCCATGTGCTGGGGCCCAGGGCAGGGCCTCTCTTGCCCACCACCCCCCTTCCCATCCCCTCCCCCAGCGGCCCTGAGGGCAGACCCCACGTGTCACTCATTCTGGAGCCCTGATCTTATCCCAGCAAGGAGTGATGTGTGGCTGAGGTGGGTGAATTCAGAGGGCAGAGGGAGACCAGAGGAAGTTGAGCCAGGTGGGGGTCAGGGGTTGGGGGTGCAGAATCCTCCTTACTCTTGCCTTGGGGGTGGCCCCAGGCCTAGGAGGGGCTTCAGGGAGTTTGAGTGTGGATCGGACTCTCAGGTAGGGCCAGACCGATGGTTGGGGTGTGAGCCTGCAGGGCTGGTTTCTCTGGAACTGCACCTGACCTGGGCAGGGCAGGCTGCTCTTGCAGCCAGTCTTTGAGGGGAGATGGTGCTGCTGAACCCCATGGCTTGGTCTTCCCTTTCACCATTGGTGGAGAGCAAAAAGACTTCCGAATGCCTAAGGAGAGTTTTGATTCCTTTTTTTTTTTTTTTTTCCATCAGGCAAGTGTTGGGAAGGGAATTGTAGTGGTGCTGAAGACCTGGGTGAGGATGAGGAGAGGGTATCTTGGAGGAAGGAAGGTGGCAGGGAGGTGTGCAAATTCAGTGAGGCAGGCACCAACATCTATGCACAAACAGCTGCACAGTCATATACTCAGACCCACCCTCACTCCTGTCTATCCTAGTCATGTGTACACGTGCAGAGGACCTGAAATCATACCAGATATCCTGCAACCTGCACACAGCCTCCCACAGGTGTGTCTGTGTATATGCGCATGGGCTGGCACACCTGCACACAAATACAAGCGTCTACACATGACAGGTGCACATGCAGACTCACCCCCACACATGCACGCACACCGACACTGTCACACAAGCCCAGACCTTTGCGGAGCTACAGAAGGAGAAACTGGCACCCAGGGTGGCACAGGCACATGCACACACATATACACACCCTCCCGCCCCTGCCTTTCCATCCCAGGCCTTCCCCATTCCAGGCTGTAGTCTGGGCCCACCACCTAGAGGCGGGTGGCATTGTGGTGAGCAGGCAGTGCAAGGCGGGGGGAGGGCGTGGAAGGGGGTAACTCCTCCAGGAAGACCCTAGGGGGTAGCGGGGGTGAGCGGGGCTCAGGCCTGGCACAGCATAGGGTGGCACGGGTGATGAGGCCGTCCAGAGGCTTCAGGGAGTGCATCCAGCGAGGCAGGAAGTCCCATGTCTGTAACCACTTGGGCAAGTGCCCGGGACTCCGACTCTGCAGGACATTGATGAGCACCACGAAGGCCAGCAGGGCCCCGAAGGGCGTGCCCACACCTACCATGACCTGCCAGCCTGCCATGGAGATGCCAAACACCAGTGAGGGCAGCAGCAGGAAGCAGACAAGGAGATAGAGGACGGCGAACCAGCGGTACTTAGCTGTGCGTTTCCCCAGCGCCTTGGCCATGCGGATGGGCAGGCGTGTGCAGGGCACCGGGTACCACAGAAGGATGCCCGAGATGTTGAAGAAGAAGTGACAGAGGGCAATCTGCAGGGGAGGAGGCAGAGGGGCTGAGGTGGGCACTGGCTCCCAGGTCCTGGGTCAGGCCAGCAGGGGTAGATGATAGGAACCCCAATCAGGTCTGGGCAGCGGGAAAGTTTCCACTTAGGGGTGATGTGTCCCCCACCCCCAGATCACCCCGGGGCAGCTATGCTGGTTATGAAAATATTGAAATACTTCTAGACCAGTTGGTAAATAACTGCTGCCCTGAGCTCCCCACATTTTCCCCGCTGATCCCTCACACAGGAATCCCCCAGCAGATACTGCCAAAATCCAGCAGCTAAAGGATTGATGTCAGTTTCTGGACCCTCACTCAGTCAGTGCCTTGGCTTGTCAGTT